GGATATTTTTTGTATTTTATAGAATTATTAGTGCTTTGACTCTTGTCAGCCACTGTTCACTTTTCTTCACCTCTCAATCTCTCTCTCTTTCTTCTGTATTCTTAAATTTTTGTTAGTAATTTGATCTGATTATTAATTAGTGTACTTTCTAAATATTATTATTATTAAAAAAATTAGGAAGAAAGAATGAAATAACATGCATAAACCTAACGTCTACACGCACAAGTTATTTCATGGCTACAATTTATCTGGTTTCCTTAGGTGTCTTATTATAATTGCTATCCTAAATTCCTAGCAAATAATAAGTTTCAGCTATTATCTAATATAAATGATATAGTTTACGTATTGATAAGACTGTAGTCTATTAATTTAGGATCAGAAATTGTAGCTATATAAAGTCTAGGGTAAATTAAGTTCTTAAATATTAAGGATTTTTATATATACCAAATATTTAAGGATTTAAGAATCAAAATTTTAGTTGATTTGCAAGTCTAATATATTAGTAAAATAATTAATTGAATGAAGATTCCTAAATTGTAGAAAATGAATCAAAAGACTATTTTGTCTAGTGTTTAACTCTATTTTTAAAGGGTAAAAAATACGAACGATATTTTACTAAGGATTTTCGTACTTTTAATATAATATAGATAGATATAGATTGATAATTGCACGTGATAAACACTGGGAAATTGATACAAAATTACTCTAAAATGTACCTTACTCACAGCAGCCCAACGCCTTTGTAAGGAAAATGTGGCTGAAATAATTCTATCCACAAGTCTTTTTACCTACTTATTCGGTTGTGGACAGAATACTTTTCTCGCCAAATTTGTTGCTGATGCGAATAGACGCATTAGGGTTATTGTGATCTATACAAGAGTAAATAAATATTCGCCATAATTGTGGAAATGTTATCTGTATAATTACCAGTTTACCACGAGACTAGTTTGATTTACAATGGAAACACATGTTTCATTCTTCACCCCTGCTTTGAAAATCCAAAATTGTAGTGATATGACAAAAGGTATTCAACTAATCATCCTTCCACGACTATAGTTCAGCTCCTGTAAAATGGTATGAATTTTGAGCTAGCTTGACTAGGGTCGGATCAAGTGTAATAACGAGCCCAATAGTTTATGTCTAGATCCTGTATTTGCATTGAAATATTCATTAAAAATATAAGAATATTTAGCTTGAAATGTAGTCCATTAATCTAGTTATTATTATATATTAACTTGAGATTGTTATAGGAACCCATAAGTTTAAAATTCTGAATCCCACACTGAACTCGACACAGTCATGAACTTCGATAACCACAATAAAATAACATTAAAGCATATTTTAACTAGGAAAAGAAAAGGAATTGAATCTTGACTAGAATTTTTACTAGAGTTTGCTACAGAAAACTTAGCCCATGAGTGAATATTGCAGCAAACGCATTCATTTGAGTTTTGGGCAAAGAAAAGCCAATCTCTAAATCTCCATCTGAGTCCTTGGACTTGCTGAGGGACATCGTTACGCCATTATTATTGTTAATAGAAACGAACTCTAACTTTTCTAGCTTTCCCCAACCAAAATCAGCAGCATATAAGTCAAATTTTGGCGATCCAGTAATTGAAAGCGATCGATTTCCGTCTATTGTACAACATTCTTTAAACCAACTACCATTTAGGATCCATTCCTCATCCTTCATCCTTTTCTGTATGGTTTCTCCAATTAATTCCACAGCAATTGTAAAGCCTTCCTTTCCAGCTAAGTCAGCATGCCTTGTTCTTGCAACGTACCCGACTATGCAATTCCCGAAATAAGTTGGAGGAATTGGTGGATTGAGTCGCGCTCTGCAATCTGCTGCACATCCGAAGAACTCCACTCCATTCTCGTCTATCTCTTCCCCTATTGCGGCCTCTGATTTTATTAAGCAAGTCCATACATAAGCACACGTTACTGTGAAAGATGTTACATGAGTTAGGCTCGGTCTTCTTGACAATATTAAATTCTTGAGCTTCAAGATGTTTTCTCGTGCTACAATAAAAGTACCTCGAACCTTATCGGGAGGAGTCTCAATGTCACACATCTCGAACTTATTTTTCTTCATTTCGTCCCATATGGATTTCCCTAGTCCATGAGGGTCTTTAATTACGGACCTATCATAAAACGGAATGAACTCATTTGCTAAGAATTGTTCGTCTCCGCCAAATTTGTTGAGCAAAGCCCATGCCCTTATGAACCTTACTATGGTAGCTCCATCACCAACGACATGATGATTAGTGAAACCAATGGATATGCCATGATTCGGAAAAAGTGTCACTTGTATGGCTAAGACGGGGGCTAACTGAACCCCCTGTGCATCCTTAGGTTCTCTCAATTGAGGAACAAAATGATAAAAATCCTTAAGATTTCGAGGATGGTTACCAACGAGAAAGTCAAAATTCATATCAGTCTCAGAAAATGTGACAAATACAGAATCTCCTGTTATATAACGCAATTCAGGATAACCGCTACAATCTAATAGTGGACAAACAATGTTGCCAGCTAAGGGTAAATAGTGTTTGAGAGTAAGGGAGAGAGAATCTTTAAGAGTAGGAATAATGGTTTGGACGAACTCTGGTTTTGAAATAGGGAATTTGTAGAACAAAATTCGCCGGTTATGGTTGAAAAGTAACCAAATATGATCAAAATATGTGAGAGGGAGTGTGAGCTCAGCTGCACTACCGGGAGGTGGCGCAACTTGACATTGCTCAATCACAGAAGCCATTATTGTAACGTTTTTGGTTAAGAATACACTATGGTTAGCTTTTCAATATATAGAATTTCAAGAAGTTACTTCACACATAAAGTGAGAGTAAAAAGTTGGGTCCGTGACTCTGACTTGTACATCGACTACACGCCATTGCATATGTGGTTGATATTGGATTTGGAATATCACACGTTTCATTTTAAACAATTGCATGCGATAGGAATATTTTTGAGCTCTTTTAAAAAAATTAGTATAATAGCACACCATTTGGTCATTAGAATTATTTTATTACTTAAATTTCAAAATGAATGTTTGTTTTAAAATTTATTTTATTATTTCAATTCCAACATAAATTAGAGAATTTGAAGTTGAAATACTAATTTGAATAATATTTTCAAGTGAAATTCAAAGTTTTTAATGTCACATATTTGCTTTAAATATGTCCTTATTTTAAACGGCCCCATATGTGGGGATATATTTGGTCTCACACGCATTCTTTGAGGGCATACCATTAAAGTTCTTAAGCTTCTATGTTATTCAGTTATCTTGTTTGATTCATGGCCCCTTAAATTGAGTTTTTCCTTATGTAAATCTTAAATACGAACAAAGAAAATCAAAATGTAGAAAAACCTACAATTATAAATTTATGATCTAAATATTGTTCAAACGTCTACAATTATAATTTCATCTGTATATATATAATTAAGTGATTTGTTGCTAGGTTAATCACGTAATCATAGTATATAATACCTCAATCATGGAAAACTTTATCAATGCGTTGGATGGTGATATATTTCGCCTTGGTTGAATTAACGTTCAAAAGCAAAGTTGTACGATACTGATTGCACAAGACTTTGATTCCCATTTCCAGAGAGTACTGAACTATGTTATTGTGGTCCGCTCAGTTTTTCTGGTCGATCTTACAAGTTGCATTTGTACTATGCTGATATTAAATTATGAATATTGCTTATAGTCTTTTTATTTCCTCGTAGAGTCTTTTTTATTTTTTTATCTTTTTTTTTTAAATTCCACTTTGATCCCTTTTTTGTTGGAGCTATTGCTCCTTTGATGACTCGAACCCACAACCCTAACGTTGTAGGTGACATGTGGTGACTATCGGAGAAACCCCTCTTGTCTAATTTTATCCTGTTGACTTTGCTACATCCTCCATCTTAATTCATCTTTATATAATGTGTTGGCAATATATTGTTAGGATATTTAAGAGAACAAAAAATTAGATACAATGCTAACATACTACACTCAGGTACACTAAGTGTCGGCTCTAATGTTGTATAGTTAATAAGGCTCGTGCCTTAGGCCCCAAATTTAGGAGGCCCTATTTTTTAGAAATAATAAGTTTATAGGTATTTTAAAAAAAAATATTTAGTACTTTTAGTATAAAATAAGACTTTCTCATATGAAGGAACAAAATCTTTTTTTGTTATGAAGTAACTGTTTGGCTTACTTAAAAATGGGTAATATGAATAATTAATGTGAATTGGAATTTATTTGATAAGGAAAATAATATAAGTAGAAGATACTACTCTAATCGACATACTCAATTAAATAAAAAAACTTTTCTTCTCCAAATGCTTATATTGCTTATAGAATAATATTAACAATTCCTATAAGAGTTGCCTCAACGAAAGAAGTTTTTCAAAATTAAAATTGATAAAATCATAGTTAAGATCGATAATGTCTCAAGAAAGATTAAATGAGTTGACTATATTAGTTGAAAAGAATTTATTACAAAAATATTATTTACAACTTTACATCTCAAAAATTTAGAAGAATAGACTTCAAATAGAAATATATACTATAACCTTTTTAAAAATAATTTAGGCCTCATATTAAACTTTGGCTTTAGGTCACACATATGCTTGAGCCGCCCCTGCTCAGGTAATAGGTATATAAGTAATAATTTAGAAGAAAAAATGTTAGTTCAAAAGTTCTAAATTTGAGTAATTATGTGATGAGTTCTTAAAAAAATTGTGAATATTAAATAAAACAACTTTTTTTTTTATTTGAACCCAAAATTTTCTATTATATAGAAAAGGAAAGTGTTGTCGACCAAGGGCAAAATTGACATTTTGCTCATTCATAAAAATGCTCTCCTCCATGCTCAGTTCACGTGGCTTCTCTCAAATTCTAAAATCAACTTTTATTTGTCGACCAAGGGTATTTCAGTAATTTTATAACTGATTTAAATTACTGATTTAAGTTAAATTTTTATTATTTTGGTAACACACGTGTATATAATTCATCTAGAATTCTTTGCAGCTCAGTCCTCCAACTAGCTTTCTTTCACCATTAATTTGCTCAACCAATTACGGATCTACCATTGATGGCGAGTTCTAGCAGCAATCTTCTACCATTACTCCATTACTATTCACCTTTCTCTCTAATTTTTGCTTATCTTTTGTATCCTTTTTAGGGATTTCCTGTTGTCTTTGATTTGCTTGGTCTTATCCTCTTTTAATATTTGCTTTGGCATAACAATAATCCCATGGTTAGCATCTTCCAGAGTTGAAACGAGAGGTGAATAGACGAGGTACAATTTTCTATGGTTCCTTGTAAATTTAATTTTGTCTATTTTTCCACTATTTATGCTTAGACTCATACGAAGGGAATTGTTCAAGCATTTTGGACTACTTTTCCTCATCAAGGAAATGATATAGAAGCTCGAGATTCGACTCAATGTGCTAGAATTGATCAGGCATTGTGCTCTTGACATAGGTGGTTTAACGAATTAAGAAGTAATCCAATTTTGAATACAACTATGTGTTTTATAATTTGGGATAAAGTTGTGCGCTACTGCTTGCTTAGTATCTGTGCTGATCAAAGCAAATGCTCTTATAGTCCGGTTCTTTTCCTCACCAAGTTTTGCGTTTTCCGTTGTTTCTCTTTTGATTTTTCTTCCAAACCTCCTGTTGAATGAGGTTTGAAGTTAATCCATGATCCGAAATGGCAGCTTCTTATTTTTACTTCCTTTATTTTATTATTTTAACTAGGAAAATATTTTTCAGGAGTTGCATAATGGGCTTAATTGGTTTTCAATGTGTAATCAATGCAGAGTACGGGATTTTTAAAATCATAAAGGCCACAAATTTGTGATTAGTTCTTGAATCTATATAGTTTAACCGAAAAAGATAGAGGAGAAAGCATTATTCCCATCAACTTGCACCCTTAATATACTAATATACATTAGCTATTGTCGGCAAAAGCAGCAAGAATAGACTGTGTAGAAGGTTGCGAGCTTGCAAACACGCACGATATGATTGTTTTGTTTAAAACTTCATTGTGGCAAACCAAATAATAAAAGCTTAAAAAACATCAATTTTTTGATAGACATAGAAGAAAAATTGATAAAACTTAACGAGTGTAGAATTCTGTTTGGTTTCATGATTTAATATTTTATTTCCTATTTCTATTATTTCTAGTTTTCATATTACGTTTCAAGGACCCAAATGCTACTTAGCTTTCAAATATCACACCCATCTTGGAGATGTGAATCAAAAAAAATTTTTACTAAAGAAATACTTGCAGATGATGAAAGAAAACCTGCAGAAGTTTCAACTCACATGTCCTGGTGGCACTAAAGAGGTAGTTGCAGATGATGAAAGGAAAGCTGCTAAGATTTCATTCCACATTTCTTGGTTGTTTTAAAAGTATGTTTTCACTTTTAATGCATCACCATCTACTTATCTGAAAGCTGTTTATGCATTATATTTCTCCTTTATGGTTCAATTTGGGAGTAGAAAGTATGAAAAATAAAAAGTTGAAAGATCTTCAAGAAATGCAAATAATCATAGTGTATCATTAGAACTTGAAACTACCAGAGTGACAAACACACAATTAGAAATTGAGAAGGTAATTAACACTAAAAGTATATTGAAGTTAATGTATTGTATGCTACAAGAGACTTCATTTTACAAAAGGTAATATGTGTTGCATCAGACTTCTTACAGGGTACAACTGAAGAGAAAGAGTAAGAGACTTCTTCCAAGTGCTTGTTTCTATGCCCTTTCTAACAGATACAACCTTAATCTCTTAATTACATTGCATATACAATGTTAACAGAAGGGATATACATAACGGGGTCACTTAAAAGTTGCACCCTTCTTTGAGGAAATGCTTGAATGATATCTCTCAATGTTGTTTCATACTCAGTACTTCTAAATGCAATTTGTAAACCTGGTATGATTGTGAGAGCTGTTTCTATTACATACTTTTCGAACTCTAACCGTAAAAGGAAAAGTTAGGACTATTCTTCCCCTTTTCTTCCCTTCTTTTACATCTTATGGCCTACATCTGAATAGAAATCCCAACCGCTATATGATATATTAAGGATATGGGGTTTCATTGTTTTGCCTAAAAGTCTATTTTGATGTTGTAACTTGACAAGCTAAACAAACTAAGAGAACTTGTTAATATATGTATTTATAAGTTGAATTAGTTTGGAATAGTCTGGTGGATTGACTCTAATACTGCAACTAATTCTTTTTCAAAAAATGTTGTTATGCAAATAGTACCAGTGATCTTATCGAACTAATAGCTACAATTGTGACAGCTGCATATTTAGTCAGTTGTTATTTTCAAGTGAATTTTAGTTATTGATACCCATGTTTATTATCAATAGCCATTTTTCTATGACTGAAGAGCTTCGAGAGAAGAAACTACTCTTCTATTAAAGCTTTGGTTACAAATGAAGCAAGGAGGATTGCATCTGTAAGTTAATGTGGCAAAATTAAGTATGGTGGAAGTCTGATATTTTCCATACGGATATGTATGAACATGATTCTCTCTTTGTGGGCGAATTGCTGCAACTAACAAGAGAAGGTTAATATTAAGTTATATGCAAGTACTATTCTTAATAAACTTTGTTATTTACTATCTTCAACTAAAAATCATTCAATTTTTTACTTGCTGATTTTTCCTGCTGGTTTATTCTGAATTCTTAGGTGAGCAATGATGGAAACACGTGTCTGGTCTATATGAACAAAAAGCACATCTCTCAATAGAATTTCAAGATTTTCATCCTCAGGTATCATTACTTAGTGTAATTGAATTGCTTTTGCTCATACACAAATAAAAATACTAAGTTTTGTGGAATTAATAGATTGTGACCAAGTTGAAGAGTAAATATGTCAGTTGAGCTTTTTTTAAAAATAATAAAGATAAGCTCTCTCCATACAATTTTGTGGTAGTAAAAACCAGAGTTTATAAAGTATGTGATGAAAGTGAGGCTTGACTCTTCATGAAAGAGTTGGAGGCCTAAATTTATACTTTGGGATTAAGACTGCTCAGGATCTTCTGGAGTTCAAGTACAAAAGCAAAAGGCATAAACGAAAACGGGAGGATAGAATTCAGAAGCTTCTTGATCGGCCAAGTGAGGGCCCAGTTTCACTGAGAGTGTTTAACATTAATAAGAATTTTTGACTAACTTATTATTTTTTATTTTTTGTTTTTGTGTTATGTATTTAATATACAAATGTTCATGATACTACGTGGTTTGTCTGTATGATAACTTTTCACTTAAGATGGAAGTTTTATTTATAAAGTCATGGGAGGAAGGAATTTCAGATTTTTTTATTTCTTGGGAAAGCATGGATTTTTCGAATGCTTGATTCTGTTTCTAAGTGGATTTTGGGAAATGGTACCTGCTCATAAGCTTCAAGATCAATTTTCTATTGTCTCATCCAGTGCCATATATATATTTATTAGCTTTATCACACTTATGTTCATAACTACGACCAATATATGTCCTTTTTTTCTTTTTTGGTCTATTTGGTCCTCTTGATTCCTTTTAAAGATTAGTCATGATAAATATATTGCTTCATCCAAAAAAAATTTTATTGTATCCCAAAATTTCTTTTTATCTTCCGAGTAATGCTATTCTTGGTTTATTTGTAGGTTGTGCTTGATATTTCGCTTCAATGGTTGGTGGCTCAATTGAGTTGTTAATAAAAAAACTTGGGTTGCCTGTGTGAAGAGAAATTCAGGGTGACATGAGAAATGACTTAGTTGTCTTTGTGCTTGATATTTCGCTTCATTGTGATGTTTCTCATTAGTTGAATAATTTAGTTTTGCGAAAACTGGTTCCATTTGTGGAAACTGGGATGATGTGGCTATCCACGTTTTTGTCTGCACACATAGAACATTCTTTTGTTTCTCTACTATACTAAATGATGTGATACATATTTTTATTTTCAGATGCTATTATTATCAAGTTGTATATGTATCATTGAAACAACTAGACCTCTCTAGCACCAAAGTTATCTCGCTAATCTAGAGGTCTGCGGAGCGTTGATTTGTCAATGTGAATTCTTGCTGGTGTGCTATTTTTATCTTTTTGTTTTAAAGGAATGTCATCTCATTTAGTCAGTTCACTAAATATATGCACATTTTATCCAAATTATCGTCGCCTAGTGCATTAAATTGACCAATCCGACCACAGAAACCACCAGCAAGAGAAAAGAGTACGGTGTAAGATGAACATTATGTAGAAAAACAAGGAAAAACGTGCATGAATACATTCTAATGGTCTTAAACAAATTGGGATCTTTAAAAAACAGACTGAAAATAAGTTTCCAATTTTTTAAAACATTCCCCATTCAAGATCTATTCCTCATCCTTCATCCTTTTTCTTAATTGTTTCTCCCATTAATTCTATAACAATTACAAAGCCTTCATTTTGAACGTACAAAAGGGAGTGAATTGTAACCAAATTAAAAACTTAGTCGACTTAAAAGAGAATTAGTCGACTTAACTATATCAGCAGGTTTGATTTGCAGCAGAAGTAAATTGTTTAGAATTTAAATACTGAGAACACATAAGTTTTATACTGGTTCAGTACCGGTGTGGTACCTACATCCAGTTCCCTTGGGTCACAAGGGTTCTCTTAGATCTTTAATAGTTCGTTACAACAGTAGTGGTATTTGGATCGTTTACCACCAACGATTTTCAGCAACAATATTTCTCAAAACTTGACACAACTCTTGTTTTATTTTCTAACACCTCATATCTTTTGAGACACTTGTAAACTCAAGAATACAATGTTTATGCTAAGAACTAGAAAGGTATAGAAATAGTGATAAGTTGCGTAATCTTTTTCTTGAGTCTATCAGTCTTTTTATACGAGAGTCTTGAGATCATGCAAACTTCTTTTTGAGCTAGCCATTGTAGATTGACCATTGATTGAGGCATAATATATTCTAAGAGTTTTGACCCAAGGGGTGCCTCAAAATCCTGCTCAAGAGATGGGCTGGATTCATTAATTTCCTTCCTTTCCGCGTTCACAATCAAGGGAGTGATTTGCGACTTGACTTGATCGATCAATCCTCAAAATCTTCATATTTATTTTACCAAATCGATCCTTGAAGTAATGATTGTCTTCCTATAACGACTGCACTTAATATTCCTTCCTTTTTGATAGCCTTGACATCCTTTGATTTAGCATTGTCCTCGCTGCATTTGATCTTGTTTCTTTTTTTATGGCTTTGACATCTTGACTTCCTTTGATTTAACATTGTCCTCCTAATTTCCTGCAATTAAGTAGATACAATTAGATTTTCACTATTGTCATCACTGAAACTTAAGTGTAACAATCTCTCCCTTTTTGATGCTGACAATCAAAAGGAGTAAACAGAGCCCACTTCCCTTTCATGTACTGGAATTGTGAGCTGTTGTTGCCCCTGAGTTGTTGCTCCCCCTAAGTTGTTGCTTTGCTTTGCTTTACTCTCACATTTCTCCCCCGTTTCTCCCCTTTGATATCAATCAAAAATAAAGAAGAAAGTGCAAATAGAATATACGTAATAGAGTAGATAATGAACATAGTAGTTAGGGTAGCAGATACTATGCCTTCAATAGAGGCACATAATGATGGTTCTTACAGACCAAAACAAAAGCAATTAACAAAAACAAAAACAACAAAAGAAATTGTTTTAGTCACACACACAACTGCCTTAGTTCCTCCCCAGAAAGTACTTCAGAGTATTGATCACTTTGGTGCATAAAGAGTCATAGGAAGTTTCAACTTCTTTGGTGATTTTGTCTATCTTCTCTATCATTGTGTTGAATACCCTGATTCCTTGCCTCTTTGTGGCTTCTGTGTCCATCCTTGGCTTAGTCACATCAATACCTGTTTCTTTAGTGACTTCCCTGATCTTGTCTGCATGTTCTTTCATTGCAATGAGCGTGGTTTTTACCCCATCTATCATTGTTGAATTTGTTGTAAGTTGTTGGTAGCAGTCGACTGAGGCTCTGTTGGTTCAGTGGTTGGCTCAACCTGTACTGGAGTGCTTCCAATCTTGGCACGTCTGACCCATCCATTTTTACTTAAGTTGTAGCCCATCATAGCAAAGGTTGTCTTATCATAGGTGCTTGAAATATACTTGGGAGAGAAGGGTGCCAAATCAACATTCATGACCTCAAGAATATATGAGATTAGCAAACCATAAGGTAAACAAGTAGCAGAGGAAGATATGTCCCTGATACTTTCAAGCATATACTGACGAATCCACACAAACCAGTCAAGCCTTTTATTGTTAACAAGGCAGTATAGACCAAAGATATCCCTAGTAGTCAAAGTGTTGAAAGACCCAGTCCTAGGAAGGAGAGTAGTAGCAATCATATGAGTAAACACATGGTGTTCAAACTTAAGACATTTAGGACCAATGTCAGGGCAGCGCTTTCCCTAGTTTGGTATTCGGCCTCATCGCCTTCTGATCCTTCTTCGGTTTCTGAAAATTCGGAACCAGAATTAAAGAACCTGGAGCATCAGACTGCGGCAGGAGTCCATTTTTTGCAGCCAACTCAAGCTCTCGGGCCTTAGCAATTTCGGTATTTCCAAAGTTTTTCTCCTCATGCTATACATAGAATAAGATTTTTCAACAATGAGGGAAGACACTTAGCGGTTAAGTTCTTCTTTGAGTTGAGTAACCTCGGCAGAAAGGTTTTCCCGGGCGAATCTAGTAGATTGGAGGCTGACGTCGAGCTCGCTGATAGTTGAACTAAAGAGCCTATTATGCTTAATGGTTTTCCTGTACTTCTATTCTAGCTGGACATGTTTCACCTCCACGGCAGCAAGCTCTTCACTTTTGGAGTTCAAGACTGCCTCCAAGTTAATCACTCTTTCAGTGGATGCAGCCTCATGGTCGGCTGCAGCAAGAACGACGTTCTGGATTTCTGCCCATTTGTCCTTGGGCTCATCAAATCTAACCCTCAACGTCCCAATTTCTTGGATAAGGGTTACCACTCCTTGCTCGCTTTGCTGCAGAAGAGCCTTCAAGATAGCAGCCTCAGCAGCTCTGGTTTCCAATTCCGAGAGGCGGAGAACAGTCTGTTCCCGTTCCGCCAAAGGCTGATCCCGTTTAGAAGTAAGTTCTTCCTTCTCACGAATCAACCTTTGAAGGCCCTGAGAAGCAAGAAATTTGGCCTACAAAACAAGAAGAAGTAAAACTTAGAATACATTCATACTAAAATAGAAGAAGTGACGAAGGAAGAAAAGAACGTATCGACGCGACATTGTGCATGGCATTGTTCAACAAGCACTCTCCCGAGGGTGTCTGAATCTTTCCCAATCCTTTTCTGAATCCAAAGGCTTCATATAATTAGCAAGCTCCACTGGCGGGGAAAACAAGTTACACCCGGTAGAGACCGAAAGAGTAACGTTCCTCCTCCTTTGTGGATCTTCAGAAGGGGCGGCATAATTTTGCCCCAAATTCCCATGAACTGGGGACTGTGGAAGAGGAACACCTTCTTCAAGGTTAGGTGCGGCCGATTGAGGTGATACAACAACTGCTGGTGGAAGAGGGGATACAGATTGAAGTGATGTAGCAGTTGCTGGTGTTGGTGAATGTGGAGTTGGAGCTGATGGAGTTGAAGAATGAGAAACAACTGCATCAAATGTGGTACCGATTATTAAATGCTGGCCAACCAAAGACGGCAAGGACCCGGTACTCAGCCCCGCAACATCGGTTACATCATTTGGGGCCCAAAAACGGGAGTTGGCATATTCCACTAAATCAGATTCTCCCCAAAGTGCTGAGACGTCGCCTTCAGTCTGTGCAATTATCTCAACAGGTCGAGCATCCGGTTGAGACGATAAGGATCATCGCCTTCTATGTAAAGAAGATCCCTCATCACTAGCTTCTTCATCATCGTCGATCATCACAGTGTCTATGACCGGCCCGGAAGGAGGACTAGTCATCATCGCCATTGGAGATGACTCGGGGGCAGCAATGTTTGCCTTTTAATTCTTTTCCCCAACCGTGGGCCCACGTCTCGAAATCCGACAAAGGTCACAAAACCCGTAGGTCCATTCATTCACGAGTCTAGCCATACCAAATTTACTCAAATACGATAACAAAATCCCATTCAAAACCTCACAAATCTAACTCAAGAACACTTCCTCTTTTGTTTTCCAATTTTTCACCCCAAATCACAAATTAGACGACGGAATTAAAGACATAATCATGGAATTTAGCCAAAACCAAGTAAGAATCACTTACCCCAATCAACTCCAAAAAATCCCTTCAAGAATCGCCCAAATCCGTGGTCTCTAGCTCAAAATATGAAGAATAGGTTCAAACCCTCAGTTTTGAAATTAAATATTGTTGCCCAGATTTCCTTCTTCGCGAACGCGACCGTCCTCTCGCATTCGCGTAGACCAATTTGACTGCCTCTCAGTTTAACTCTTCGCGAACGCGGCCAACGCTTCGCGAACGCGATGCTTTTCCAACTCTGACCTTCGCGAACGCGACCCATGCCTCGCGAACGCGTAGACCAAAAGGCTAGGGGTCCCCAACTACCTCACTCCTCTTAGCGAACGCGATACCACTCCCGCGTTCGCGATGCACACACAAACCATACCTTCGTGTTCGCGTCCTCTTCTTCGCGAACATGAAGAACAAAAATTCCCAGCTCACAAACGCCCTTCGCAAACGCGAGGCTCCTCTCGCGAACGCGTAAGAGGAAACCAGAAAAAAAAACACAACAACAAACATTAGTCATCAACCAAGGTCCAAAAATGATTCGTTAACCAGCCGAAACTCACCCGAGGCCCCCCAGGACCTCAACCAAATATACCATCAAGTCCCAAAATATCATACGAACTTAGTCGAACTCTCAAATCACCTCAAACAATATCAAAACACGAATTACACACGGATTCAAGCCTAATGAACTTTAAAATTTCCAAATTCTACAAACGATGCTGAAACCTATCAAATCACGTCCGATTGACCTCAAATTTTG